TGGTGATGACCCTCGTCGTGGCCGCGGCGCGGGCCGAGAAGGAAGGTGGGTGTCAGCCGGCCGGCACCTCCCGGGCCCGGCCCCGCGGCTGTCACCGCGCCCTCGCGGAGGCCGCTGCTGGGCTGCGGCCGGGGAGGAAGGGCCGCGGCTCTGGGCTCGGAGGGCGGCCGAGCATGGGGCTTGGTCCGGCGCGAAGTTGCTTGGTCGAGTCCCGTCCCGAGCCGGGAACTTGCGGTTCGGATGCCAACTCGCGGCGTTGGCCGCACGGAGTTGCTCTTGTTCTCCGTGATTACTTCCCCTCGTCTTCCCTGTTGTCTCCTGTCACTGCCGTTTCAGAACTTCCTGAGTTCTCATATATTGTTGCCACTTGGCTCACTAGGTAGGAGGGGCATATTTTTAGACTTGATTGCTGTTAATAGGCAAATTTGAGGACACTTTTTTTTGGGTTGCGGTTTTAATAGCGGCGTGCGAACAGAGCTCACTTTAAAATGTAAAAATAGCGAGACTGGTGGAAAGGCTTCAAGACAGCTTACCGAATTTTACTTTGCATTTGTTCAAACATTTTGGGAGGAGGAATCTTGTTTTTTTCAGCTTCCCTTTTCAGTATCGCTTTGCAATATTGATGATTGTTTAGCTAACAATTCTCTTTCTCTATAGTACAATTCTGCTTAGCTCTCTATTGAGCTTTTGAAAGCCTGTTTATATTTTTTACATGTTTTAAGATACTTAATTGGGTGTCATTGTCTTTAATGTGACAGACTTTAAAAACCAATGTCAAATTTCTAGTTTGCAAACCTTTATCCATAATTTACAGTTAAGGGCTGACCCCTCTTTTTAAAACTCTCGTTAGTATTGTATGACTGTAACACCGGTACTTTTACAGGGTTAAAAAATCATTTTGTAACCTGGAAGACCAGATCTGTAATTTTGTCATTACTACGTAAACGTTTTTGAGCCTGGGGAAATGAGTGACCACAGAGCCTTCATGAAGAAATCACTAAAAGTGAATGGTTTTTAAAAAGCTAAGCAAAACTTGTTAGTTTAGCTTCTGTTTCACACTAAACTGCCACTGCAAAGAAAATAATTTCTTGCCGCAGTGACTTTAGGGTTGATGTTCTACTTTACGACTAAAGCCACTTGCTTTTTATTGTTACTGAGGGCAACAGCAGAGCAAACCAAATTAATGTTAAAGTGCAGTGTGTTTCAGTTTACTGTTTATTTTTTTGCTCAGAACAGTACATTCTCTCACTTAACTCTAAGCAACCTTAGCCTGGGTTAACATAGGTGGAAGTTATTCAGAGAATTGCCATCTGTAGAAAGGATTAATTGACAGAGGCAAGATTATTTCCTGAATAAAATATTGCTGCTTTAGGACTAGTCAGGCCTGGGGTTGTCGTAGTTTATCTTTGGTTACAGATCTGCAGCTGGTTCTTGTGTGGCCATGGTGCCCAGCACAGCCTGGCATGTAGTTGGTGTCCAGTAAGTCTGAAATAGTACAATAAGTTAATGTCTCCTTGAGTGTAAAGTAGTCCTTGGCAGGTATTGTGTCCTGCTTTTTCTCTGCCTTTGCTTACCTTGCACAGTGCCAGGCACACAGTAGGCATTTAACATTTGTTTGAGTGAGTGATTATACTCATGGGTCATTAGCACAGGGAAATAAAATGATTGAGTCTAGTAAAACATTAAGTTTGTATGTCATCCTGCTGCTTATTTTTCCAAGAGCCATTTTATGTGCCAATTCTCAGTGTATAGTTAAGTAAACAAGTCCCTTGTTTGAGAAATGTCAGCCTAGATTATATTTGCTAATTTCCCTTTTGTATGGCTTATAAGCTTTAGTGCACCTCTTCCAATGCCCACAGATGTACGGGTTAGGGGAGGAGAATACGTGTCAGGGTGTACGAGGATGAAAGGATGTGGTCGAATCAGCCAGAGGCCCTGGCAGAATCGGACACCTTTTGTGGCCCATGTTTTGTCTGGATGAACAATTTGGATGGAGAAATTAGCTATTCAAGGTATTGATGGTAATTATACTAATATAGAGCGCAGGACTCTGTCCATCATAAATGGATCTGGCTCTAATCAAATATTCCATGAAGGTAGCTCCAAAAATGGCCAGTGCTTTCAGTCTCCTTGCTGATCAGATTCTGGTAGTTTTTGTTTGAGTAGTAGTGAGATCGATTTTCTTACATGAATGTGATAACCGCAAATTTGGCAACATTCACCCCGCAAAGGATGCTGTTGGGTTTTTTTCCCAGAAAATCTGGGCAGATTTCTGAAGGTAGCTGAGTTCACTTTGTCAGTTTACATCCTGAGGACTTTTTGTGTTTATTTTGGTAGTATAAACCAGCATAATTTTTCAAAGTTAAGACTTACCTGCAATTTTAATGATGTTTCTCTGGGCATTTTCTGTTTTAGTATATTTCTGTTGCAGCAGAATCTCACTAGAAAATCTTCAAAACAGATTAAACTCATTGTCTTCGGAAGGAAAGCAGCAGAAATAGCTAGATTACCTAATGCAGTTTTTCATGTTTGGACTAGATGTTGTTAATTTTAAGTCAGAAGCGTGAGCCATTCTTTGTCTTAACATCCTGTATGTCTTAACACTCCTATATCTTAACATTTGTCTTCACTGATCTATGGGGGTGTGTTTCACTAGTCCAGAGAAAAGGGACCTTTGAAGATGTTTTGACTCTGCTCTACAGTTTGTAAGGACCTCTGGAAGAGTTGCCAGAGGTAGAAGTTACTGTAATTACTACAACTAACTTGCTTATTCTGGATTGGTGTCAAGATTTTTTTTTTCTTTTTTTTTTTAAGATTTTTCTTGAAGCTAAGATCTAGATATTAAGAAGAATGAAAATAGGGGTGTGTGTGTGTAGTGAAAATATATTAAAATATATACAGTGAAAATATGTGTGTACATCTTAAACGTATAACTTTTAGTGCTATTTTTATTTGTAAATCAGCCCATTCATTATTACAAGCAAATAAGAGCTTTTGAAAAAAAAGCATCATATATCATGTATAATATAGTTTCGTTGTGAAATGTGTTTTTGGAGGGCATGATTGTCTCTTAATTTATTATGAATGAAGAGCTACATTTTATGCATCTAGTAAATATAAAGTTGGATAAATTTTCAGGAATGTGATTGTTTTAGCCTGTGACAATTTATATTTGTGTCACATGTTTTACCATTAATTGGCGATTTATGGCAGGGCGAAGTTTGATAGTCTTTCTTAGGACTTTTAAATTTGTCTACCAGATACTTTAGTTTCGTGCACAAATTAAAGCTGTATTTGTGACAGAAGTGCAGAAGGAGGGTACAAAAGTGTTCTCTCTCCAAAGCATATGAACAAAGTGCTTAGGAATAGAGGCCAGAAGAAAAGAGATAAAAACCTAATTTGATTAGGTTTTTTGTCTTAGGATGGTAGAATTGATCAGGAGCGGTATTTACTTTCTTCTAATCAAATTATTACTTCATAATGTAAAAATGTTTTTTAAGAGTGATTTTCTTAAGAGTGAAATGTTTTAATCCTTGCATGGGGCTAGAGTGATTACTTTTTAATTTAGGGCCTAGTAAGTAGAATAGGGCTTCACTAAAGAACTTTCATTGCTTGCTTTTACGAAAAGCTGTTTGCTACTGCCTAGATCATTGGAATCCTCTAGTTGGAAAAAGTGTGTTCTCTCTTTCTCTTGCTAAGGACAGTTTTGCTCCTCTTTGTAATGCTTGCGGCCATCCCCATAGACACCTGCCAGAAAAATCAGCTTTTGGGAGTAGGTGTGAAATCATCTAATTTGTTATCTTCCAGTAGTAACAAGCAAAGCTACTCTTGGGGGAAAATGAAATCATTGCTGGTGCTTTTGATCTTTTAGAAATTCTCCTTCATCTGCATGTAGCTTGAGCTTTCTGATTGGCCTTGTCAGACTGAGAGGCCTTTTTTCTCTGGCTGAATTTTTCCTTATCTGGTGTAAGCAGCATCAGGCACTGTTGATAGCTGCTTCTTGGAACTTTTCTTCCTTCGTTTCTGTGGCTTCGTACTTCTTGGTTATCATCCTGCCCTGTTGTCAGTCACTGCTCTGCAGCTGCCTGTTGGCTGTCTTCCTTCTCATGCACATCTGGCCACCAGCACACGCTGCACATGTCCAGAGCAGAATTCTCTGGCACTACCTCTGGTTTCCCAGTTTTTATTAATGCCATGATTATTCTCTCTGCCACGTTGGTCTCGATTTTGACCGTTTACCGAGTGGCATCAGTGTCTGTTAACTTTCTTGGGCAGCTCTCCCACCGCCTCCGGCCTCCTGCCTGGGGCACTGCCCTAGGCCCTCACTTCCCAACTCTCTCCACTTCTCTAAAGTCCTGCAGTCCCCTCTCTGAATTTGCATTGTCTTTGTTACTCAGCTGTCATTTATTTTGACACTTAATCATATACTGCCTTGTTTAGCTCCTTAAATTGTTTTATGGGTGTCATTCTTCACCCAGACTGGAATTTCTATGGGGCAGAACCTCTATCAACATCTGCAGTATGTGTTAATACATAACAGGCATTCAGTTTTAAACAGAGGGCTGCCGAGAATGACTTTATCCTCCCCTTCTCATATCTGAAACCTGGATTGAGAGTCCAGAGTACAGGTAAAACTCTGAACTTGGATGCAGGTGTTAGCAATTCTGCTACAGTAAGACATAGGGCAACGCTACTTTTTTCTTCCCTACATGTTGCTTTCTCTTGTAACTAAAATGAGTAACATATACTTATCTAAACCATCACTTTTGTTACTTTTAGATTTTAATATTTCACATCCTCATAAAGCCCCAATTTATAGATCATGAAGCAAGCACAGAGAAATTAAGTAATATTCCCAAGGTAACAGAGCTGGTAGGTAGTTGAGCTAGGGCTCCCTTGCAAGCCATCTCTCCCGAGTCGAGCTGCTTAATCCTGAATGAGTACTTAAGGTAGTAGATTCTGTTGTATACCAGCTGGATAAAGAACAGTCCTGCCAGTTCATGCAAAACCAATGTGTTAAGTATTCAAGTGAGGTGAAGTTTTTTTTTTTTAAAACAACCATAAACATCTATATCACCTTCTATTAACTTCTTAACCATTAAAATAATCACAGGCCATCTGGATCGTGCACATTCTTAAAAGGAAACCAAGGAAACTCCTGAATGGATGATCCATGGAACAGGTATTTGGTATTAGAAGCCACGGACTCGACTCTTAGCTCTTGATGATTTAGGTACCTGGTATATTGCTTAGGTGAAAATTACACTGCATTCGGTGAATTCGTG